TGTGCAAGAGAATTGTTTGTATGAAGGTGTTCTTAAAATTACCAAAAAAGGCAATTTTTTAGAAACTGATGGTTTTACGGAAAGAGTTTTAATTTTGTATTACTTCTCTTTACAATGCTGGAATCATTTACAGTTTTAAAATCAATATTGAAAACATTATTGTATCAATCAAATTCAAAAAAATAATAATACTATTATTTAGAACCAATTCATTTCAAATATTTCTTAAATCAATATTCATGAAGTTATAAAATTTATTAAAATTGCATGAAACCAAGTAAATATCAAAACAATAACACATACATAACAAAAAAAAAGATATTATATCTAATAATATAACTGTTAAAAATAAAGAAAATATTGTTTTATCAAAAAATACAAGCTAATTGAACTTGTTAATTAATTTCTTATCAATTATGAAGAAGTTAAAATAGAAGTGTTTGAGTTTGTTAATTTGAAAGAATTTATTTCTATACAGAATATGTCAACAATAGAATCTATTATTACAACAATAAAAGAAAAATACTTGTCAGAATCAGAAAACTCTCCAATAGTCAAATTTATTTCTCATAAATCAATTCTTGAATATGTCAATTCTTTGCTTCTGTATATTATTCAAGATTGTAATCTTCAAGTTGATACTTCCTTCTTATCTAATTTAAAAAAGTTAGAGAATAATTGAGACTAAACAACAAAATATGTTACAACAAATAAGTATTCTTACATTTTATCATTTATAAAGTTTATATATAATGTTTTTATAATAATAAGTCAAAAGTTAGTATAAACTACAGTATATATAAACTCAACTTATTGTGAAATTTGATAAAAAGAAAATTTCGATAAGCAAAATAAATTGTCCCTTCCCGCAACCTTTGGCTTCTCGAGTTTCACTTGTATATATTTGATTTATTATTTAATTATTTTTATAAGTTAAATAAATTAAATTTTTGTAAATTGTAATATATTGATTTATTTTTTATTTTTATTTAATAGTATATTAATTAAATAGTATAATATAGTCTATGGGTTGGTACTATGCTCTGAGACAAAATCCTTATTTGGAGATACCGACGATTATCAATATAAATATAAATTTATATATCGAACCATATAAAATTAAAAAACCGTGTACGAGATTGTACCAAATTACGGTTAAAGACATTCTTGGGAATATAATCCACTAAAAATCTCAATTTTGTTAAATCTTTCAAAACATGGGTTTGCTGTGTACCAACCCATATAGTTTTAAATTTTAAATAACATTTATTTATTTATTTAAACCATTAATTATATACAATATAAAATAAATAAATTTTTAATTAATAAAAATAATGGTTAATCAGTTAACTATTTAAACCACATATTTAGACAGCTAATTAACTGATTAGGATTTTTAGTCGATTAGTATAGGCATATATAAAGCATGTGACTAAATTTCCTAACGAGGTCAGGAAAAATTCGCAGTTGACAGACGTAAAAGTCAAACATCTAAACCAGTTATTCAAATATTGTCATTCACATAGTCAAAGTGCCAGAGCACATGTCAACCGACACGATACGGGAAAAAACGTGACAAATGGACACGTGAAAGCAGGGAGTATTTGTTCGATTCTTTAGTAATAGTGCAACTGATACGTGATCGATCTTACATCAGATTGATTTGTATTTATATAAAATGTCCAAAATATTGCCACTAATTTCGAATCCAAAACTTGATGTCTTGTTTCACGTATACATTAGCCAGCTTAGCCGGTCTACCAATAATCCTTTTCGCGCGACCCCTGTGATTCTTACTGTCGGAGTTGTGGTATGCAATATCTGTCTGGTTTAACCCATTTCTCAGATTGCGCAAATAAGCTTTTCTTCTGATACCTCTAAGCTCTTTCCTATTGCTTGTGTTTCTTTGCTGTGCGCCTTTCTTGCATATCTCGGCTATCTCCGAATCTGCGTATTATCTCGATCCTGAAAAGCCTCGGAATAGTCCAAGGCAAATTTATAGCCGATTACCGGGTCTGTTTAGATCAATTCCCTAAAAAAATTTTACCTTACAAAAATGTCTAAAGCACAAATAGATCTTGCTAACTTGGATTTCAGCCATACCTACTCAATTGAAGAGTTCGAATTAATTAACGAAAAGCTCAAAACATGCACCTTAGAAGTCAATGGGCAACCAGTTAATTTATTTGATCTCGACAAAAACAGAAACCTTGTTCCAATGCTACAGGCCACTCACTGCATGGTGGAGAGATTGTCAGACAGCTTGGTAATTGGAACATTCAAACTCGACAAAATGGTGACGTAAAAACAGCACAAGGAGGGTTTAATTTCAGTGTTGGAGGTCAAAGAACGATCAGAGCTCCTGATGTCTCCTTCACACCCAAAGCAGTATCTCGACGATTGACTGAATTACAACGTTGGAATTTCCAGGGTCAGCCATTCACTCCCACGTTCGTTGTCGAGGTTGGAGATACCCAAAGTAGTACATCGGCATTCTGGGAGTTAGATGACAAATTTAAGCGCGAATACTTTGCAGTTGGAACATCTGTACAACTTGGTTGGTTGATTGATCCCAAAATAGAAGAATCTGGGTATACAAGCGGGATTAACATGGCAATGTCTATCGTCGTGAGCGCGTATGGGAAGATTTAGAGAGTGGTGATGTTTTGCCGAGATTCACATTGAAGGTGCGGATGATTGAGGAAGCAATTTTACAGGTGCGTCATCGCCATTACTTCTATGTAGCAATATTTTACCACTCATGTTTTTCGATCACAGGAATCTTCCGAGACATCATCAGTGAATGAAGAATTGCAAATTGATTGCCCTCTATGTGGCACAACTTTCTCTGATCATTACACTTTCACGAAACATTATACAAATGAGCATGCTCGTAAACGGCGTAGAACAAAATAGAGCTTTAGTGTTTTTTTTTATAGAACTATGTCAAGTGCACTCGGTCTGATAAATTGCTCTCTAGCATACCGCTAATATTTCGAATAAATGACGCAGTAGTTCACGTTACTTTATTATTATTTAACAAGCATCATGTCTTACAATACTACATATAAAAAAGTACCAAACTTTGAGACTGTTAGAGATGTTAAAAGTTCGATCCCTGAATTATTAATATGAACTATTCAGGACTTGAATCAGATCGTTTTTATTATCAATCCTTACGATCATATACTGTATATTTAATGATTTGCATGTATACAATTATGTTTGTTACTATTTATAACATATTAGTTCTTTTGTTATATTATAATTATATATAAATGGAGTAATAATTTCCAAAAAAGTCGTGTAGTATCTATCAATATGACTAGTTAAAATTCTTCTATTCGTGTAAGAAAAACTAGACATTCTCCAATTCATGACTATCTTGAAGACACATATGATGCTTTATTTTGTAAATTATGGAATACAAAATTTAGTAAAACAACAGTTACATCAACAATAAATAGACATTTTTAAAAAAAAATAATCAAACATTCATTCAATTATATCAACAAATACCTAACACCTAACAATATATTCCATATATTCAAAAAGACAAACAATATATCAATGAAATTGATGATGCATTGCTTAGATGCATAGTCAAAGATCAGTTACCATTTATGTTAGTAGAAATTGACTCATTCCAACAACTTTTTGTTAAAATGGATTCATTTTATCAAGTATCTTGTCATCAAAATATATCAATCAGTGTTAAAAGTGAATTTCCAATGTCCTGAAAAAGATAGGAAAATATTTTGTCAAAAATCCAAGTAAATTTGCTCTTACTATCAATATATGAACAACTTGTAACCAACAACTATTTCTTGGAATCACAATTTATTGGATTGATAAAAATTAGATCATGCATATTTTACTTCTAGATTTGATGACTTTATAAGAATTATATTAAGTTAATATTACAGAAAAAATTTTAGATATTTTTGTGAAATAAAGGTTGGATACAAATTTATTGGATTTATAGCAGATAATATAAGTAATAATGAAATAGCATTTCAACATTTACAAAAAATTATGAGTCAAATTTGATATTTAGCAAATTTATTATTTTTAGTTTGTAGCACATGTTTTAAATATAGGTGTAAATATAAATATAAATAGATTAAATATAAAATGTGTTTTTTTTTTTAAATTGTTTTTTATAAACTTTATATATAGATTTATACTTAAACTTTATAATTTACTATTATTTATAGAAGAACTTAAAAAATATTAACAATAATTAAAAAGTCTTTCTAAAGCCTGAAATTGATATGGAGACTTGTTTAAATAATACTTTTACTATGTTTTAAAGAATAAAAGAAATTTGTAAGACCATAAATATTTTTGTACAGCAGAATTCATATTTACAAGATATATATCTTATAATAAAAACTGACAAATAATAAATGTAAGAAATTTTTATTGTTATTTTTTTTAATTAAATAAATAATAAATTAATTAATATTTTTATTATAAAAACTGATAATAATTTTACAACAATTTAACAAAATTACAACATTATTATCTTCTTTTTCTATTCTTATAAAAAATAATTTTTATGTAATTTTTGCAAGGTTTTTAATTTATTCTGAATACTATTTAAATCAAAATAATAGTCTTCAATATTTAATCTCAATAACAATTAAAGAAAAACTTGAAGAATATAAAATTATCTTAATATTTTATTTATATTTCTAATAACTATTGATATATGCAACAAAATTTAGAATATTTATTAACAATAAATATATATATACAATCTAACTTCTAATTAATACAATATATTTAAACCATTAAAAAAAATAAAATCAAATAATATATCATTTAATTATTTCTAACAACTTGTATACTCAACACAAAATACTATTTAATACTTTTTGATCAAACAGAATTTTATTTTTTATGTTTTTAAAAGATTTGAATATATTGTTATAGTTAAAATTAAATTATGAAAAATATATTATTCTTTTACAAATAGCTTTGAATTATTTAGCTATTCAAGTTACTGATATTTTATATTAATATGTTTTTTCTATTGCAAAATACATTATTAGTTTAATATAATAAATTTTTGAAGAAACAGTCAAAATATTATTTTATTTAAAAAAGTAAATAAAAAATAATTATATTTTAGATTATTATTTTTTTTAAAAATGGGCAACTTACTATACATCTTATTTTATTAGGTTTATATAATTGAGTATGTATAGTCACACTAAAAAGTGATGTCCAATTGTTAATCAAAATCAACTTAAATAAGTATATGTTTATTTTTTTATTTAATTAATATTTAGTTGACCCTCCATTTGCTTTTATTATAGCATCAATTCTTTACAGCATTGAATACACAACCTCTCAAAAAATGATGTATCAAATTTTGACCACTTTTTCATTAGAGTGACCTTGAGCTTATCCACAGTTCTTAAAAAATTTTTGTGCTTTTGGATATTGTTCTTTAACAGTTTCCAAATATTTTTGATTGAATTTAAATTAGAGGAGTTTACAGGTTAATCAATAATTCAAATATTTTCTTTTTTAAACCAATTTTTAATGATCTTTGCTGTGTGAATTGGAGCATTGTCATAATAAAATATCAAATGTAATGATATTAAATTACAATTTTTATGTTGAAATGATAAAAGATAATTTTCCAGAATCTTTTGATATGTTTTTGCAGTTATTTTTTTTTTCTTTATATTCATTACAAAAAACTAATGGTTTTTTTGTTTCACCTATAAAATACTCCTACACTATTACTGTTTATCAACCACTCTTAAATGTAGATACTAAACACTCAGAATTATATCTCTCACTTGAATTTTGCCAAACTCTTATATGTCATGACGATTTTCCGATTTCCACACTTGTTTCATCAAAAAAATTATGCATAACCAATTATAGACTGTTTTGTTTTTATTTTTTTCACACCAGTTGAGGCATGCAGTTGTATTACTTTCTGGTATAAAGAGTTTTTTCACAGTGATATGAGATCAAATTCCAATGTTATATAGTATTATTTGCTGCAATTTATGGATTGCATTTAAGCTTTAGACTATTTAAAATTTTGTGTAATGGTGTGCAATATTTTTTGATTACTTCTTGTATTAGCATATTCTTTTCTTTTCATTAAGGACTTGTGGTCTACCAGATTGTGGCATATTTGTTGTTTTTCTGGTTTTTCAATATTTTGCAATAAATTGTCAAATTGTTGTGAGGTTTAGTTCAATTTTTTTTGCTATCTGCTCAGGATTTATATTTTCCAAATATGTGAGTATTTTTTTTATCGATATTAGTTAATTGTGTATGGCTGGAAGTCATAATATTTTTTAAAAAAAATTATGTGAAATATGTTAAAAGAGTAATAAAAAACAACAACAAATGAATAGGTATGAAAAATGACAAAAAGGGTAAAAAAAGTTATAATATAATTTGTTATACTTTTATACTTAAAAATCAGGTATTACTTTTTAGGGTGATTGTACAAATTCATTTTATACAAATTTTCCACTCTTGTTTTTTCAAATAAAACCTACTAAGGATCTCTTTTACCATGTAACTTATTGTCAAATATTAATATTATCATATATCGTTTCTACCTCAGGAGAAAGATAAAGACGGAGAACTAGTAGCAGGGAGGCACTTTAGATGGACAGGGC